CCACACTTCTGTCCAACTTGGCTTTCATCAGGGGTTCCCACAGCTGTTCTCCAGATTTTTTTAAAAAAATATTTTTGTAGTTGTAGATGGACACAATACCTTTATTTTATTTGGTTATCGTATATAGTGCCAGGAATCAAACCCAGTGCCTCAGGCACGCTAGGCACGTGCTCTACCACTCAGCCCCAGCCCCAGCCCCAGCCCCAACCCCAGCCCTGTTCCCCAGATTTAATAATTTGCTACAGCAGCTCACAAGCTCTTGGAACTCAGGAACACAGATTGCTTACTGTTGTAGGGTCATTTTAAAGAGTAGACTCAGGACAGCCAAGAGGAGACAGACGCACGGAGCAGGGTGTTGGGGGATAGGGCACCCCTCTCCAGCTGGCCACGTCCAGAACCATGTCCTCACCAGCCCAGGAGCACTCCAGATTCTGCCATGTCTTGTGGAGGCTTCCGTGCAGACGGCTGGATGATTAAGTGGAGCTGAGGGCCCACCCTGTGATCATGTCTTGGTGGTTTGGTGACCAGTTTCTGCCCTGGAAATGTCCATCACCCCCATCTCACTAGTATACATACAAATAATGACTCTGGAGATTCTGTGGAGCTCGGAGCTGTGTGCAAGGAACATTTCTTTTTTTTTGTATCACGATAATGCACGGGGATATAGTTGGGTTTTGCGTACTGGTGCCTTCCGAAGTCATTTATCATCTTAATAGTTCTTCTCTAGATACCTAAGGACTTTCTATATGGAAAATTGTGTTTATCTACTACTATAGTTTTATTTCTTAATTTCTGATCTGGATGCCATTTATTTGTCTATGCTTATTAATTTTTTATTTTAATTTTTTTAAAAAAATTGTAATATTGGGGCTGGGGTTGTGGCTCAGCGGTAGAGCGCAGGCCCAGCATAAGCGAGGCCCTGGGTTCGATCCTCAGCACCACATCAAAATAAATAAATAAAACAAAGGTCTTGTGTTCAACTACAACTAAAAAAATAAATATTTTTTAAAAAATTGTAGTACCAATTATTTCCTTGCCTGATTGACTTGGCCAGAACCTCCTAACTGTGTATCTATACTACTGGAGGTTCTGGCCAAGACAATCAGGCAAGGAAATAATTGGTACTACAATTTAAAAAAAAATATCTATTTTTTAGTTGTAGTTGGACACAAGACCTTTTAGAAGTGGTGAGGAGGCCCTCTGGGCCTTGCTCCTGATCTTAGGGGGAAGCCTCAGACTTTTACCAGTGCAGTGAGCACTCTGAAGCTTTTTTTGCTGCCCTATATAGCTTGAGGAAATTCTGTTCCATTCCTACTTGGCTGGCTGTTTTTTATCATGAGTGGGTAGGTGAGGTTTTGTCATATATTTTTGTCACGCTTTTTCAGTATCCGGATGTCTTTTGTCTCTTGATCTGGAAGTGTGTCTTAGCTCTTCTTTCTCTTTCTTGACACATATTTGGAGAGCCCAGGCCTGTTAATTTGTGCTCACTTGATTAGCTTCAGGTTTTTTTTTTGAGGGGGACACACTCTCACTATGTTGCTCAGGCTGGTCTCTAGCTCCTGGGCTTGAGGTCCTCTGGAGGAGCTGGGATTACAGGTGCGCCCTTCTGGGCTCCTGATTTTACATTTTTTATAGGATACAACCGCCGTGTGGGGTGCCCTTCTCAGTGCTTCACCCCGGAGACTTGTAGTAGCTGTTGTCCTCATTGTAGGCGATACTAACTTTGTTTTGGTGCTGTGGACTGAACCCAGAGCATCTACCACTGAGTTATATCCTCAGGCTGTGGATTTAAATGTAGGAGTTGTCAGTCTAGCCAGAAAGTACCTGAGGGTCCCCAATGGTCCTTTTTATTTTCTATTTTGAGATAGGGTCTTGCTAAATTGTGGAGGCTGGCCTTCAATTTGTGATCCTCCTGCCTCACCCTCCTGAGTAGCTGGGATTACAGTGTGCACCACTGTGCAGGCAAGTGATATTAACTTTGACCACCTTGTTCAGGCAGTGTCTGCCTACAGAAAGTTACTACTAACCCCCTTTGTAATGAACATTTTTATTACCAAATAATTTACTGGGAGTTATTTTGACACTGTGAATATTCTGTTCTTCTTCAAACTTTCACCCATTCCTTTTTTTTTAATGTTGATGGAACTTTATTTAATTTATCTATTTATTTATTTATAAGTGGTGCTGAGAATTGAACCCAGAGTCTCACACATGCTAGGCAAGTGCCCCATTACTTTTTATTTTTGGTACTGGGGCTTGAACCCAGGGCTTCATGCATGTTAAGCAAGTGCTCCACCCTTGAGCCACACCCCAGCCTTCAACCATTTGTACTTTTTTTGGGGGGGGGGCACTGGGAATTGAACTCAGGGGCACTCAACCACTAAGCCACATCCCCAGCCCTATTTTTGTATTTTATTTAGAGGCAGGGTCTCACTGAGTTGCTTAGCACCTCACTTTTGCTGAGGCTGGCTTTGAACTCAAGATCCTCTTGTCTCAGTCTCCTGAGCCATTGTGATTACAGGTGTGCGCCACCTGGGCAACCCCGAGGGCGTTCTGAAAGGCTTCTCCTGGCTGCCACATGGAAGGGGCTGGAGTGGCAGTGGAGACCGGATGGTTTGCAGCATCAGCCAGACACTGCCACTGTTGGAACCAGCCCAGACGCTGCAGCGACAGCATTCACCTGCATGAGCCATGCATGTCGGGGAGCAATGACTCTGTCCTGCTGTTCTTAAGGTCCCTGAGCCCAGTGCTGATCCTGGCGGGGGTGAGGTCTCTGCAGGACTCTGGGGATTTGCAGTCTTCGGGGAGCTTGGGGCTCTAGAGAGGAAAGCTGGGCTCCTTGCTCTCAGGTGCGCAGCCCTGTGTGGGGGTTCTAGGGACTCATGGGTGGCTTATGGCCTCCTGTTCCCATGGGCCCCTTTCCTGGCCACCTTGTAGCCTTCCAGGGGTGCTTCCTGCCTCTGCCTGGGCTCCCCTCTGTCCTGGCAGAGGAAACACTGAAGCCACAAGGACTCTTTCCCAGCTTCTCTGGGAAGCTGCTCTTAGGCTTTCCCAAGGTGACACATCTTCCTAGTGGAAGAGTGTGCCATCTGTGGAGGGTGGGACATCATCTAAGTCATAATCTTGTCAAAACTATTTACTCTGAATCTAGTCAAAAGAAAATATAATAAATCCAAATTATGCAACATTCTATGAGATGCTTGGCTACTTTAACATATAATTATCAGGAAAACAAAAAGGCAGGGAAATTTTTTTGATTCAAATACTAGAGAAACATGGTAACCAAAATGAGCGAACCTTAACTGGACCCTTGATGGACAGGGAAAAGCCCTAGGGAGCATTACGCGGGCACCTGGAGCTTGGCACTTTAGGTGACATTAGTGCCTGGGCTCTGATGCTCTCCTGGGTAAGGGAGGCCCTGTCTGGAACATTCTTCTGTGGAATTTGAGAGTGATAATGGTAGGATTGCCAGGCATGAAACGTCTTCATTCTTGGCAGTTGCACAACATGTTTTGGTGCCACTCTGCCAGGAGGGCCAGGAGTAGAGGCCCAGATTCTGCATGTTGCTCCTCATCAGCTGGTGCTTCTGATATGGGCAGCAGGGTCCTTCCTGGGCCTCTGGCTGTAGCAGAAACCCTCAGTTTCTGAAGAGCTAAGGGCCACCCTAGGCCCTCCAGGCCCACAGGGGCAGCTGGGCTGCTACCTGCTGGTGGCCTTGAGGCCCAGCTTGATTCCTCACCTGCCTTCACTCACGGCTGGCTGCTGGGACCCTCTTCACTCACCTTGAGCTCACCCTGGTTGGTCTCAGGGCAGGAGTAGGTCTGGGAAGGCACAAGCTCCAGGAGTTCATCAGAGCCTCCCATGGTCACTGACACTCAGCCACCACTACCAGACACTGGGAGCCAGGAATGAGAGCAAGCTGCTCTGAGCACAGGGGGCTGGCTACAGGGTTGGGTGGGCTCACGGGGTTGGCTGGTGACGGGATAGGCAGTATGGACAAAGCTCTTTCTTGGGAAAGGGAGACCTGTGGTCACTGGTAGCCTGGTTTGGCTGGACCGAGAGGAAACGGTGACTGTGGTTCCACAGTCTGGCCTGAGGGCTTTCTAAAGGCACTTTCTTTTTTTTTTTTTAAATAATTTTTTAGTTTTTGGCGGACACAACATCTTTATTTGTATGTGGTGCCGAGGATCGAACCCGGGCTGCACGCATGCCAGGCGAGCGCGCTACCGCTTGAGCCACATCCCCAGCCCTCTAAAGGCACTTTCTCTCCCTCAGTTGGTAGGCAGGGTTGGCCCCTACCATGCCTTCTGCCTGGAATGCACTTTCTTACCCCCAAAGCTGCTCAGTTCCCCATCTTCTGGTGGGGACCAGAATGCTCCTGCCCAACCTGGAGGAACCAGCTCCAGGTTCCCGCAGCCTCCTTCCACAGCATACCCTTCCCTGTTGTAGACTTGAACTCATCACTGAGTTTTTTGTTGTTTTTTTTTCGTGGTGCTGGGGATTAGAACCCAGGGCCTTGGGCATTCGAGGCAAGCACTCTACCAACTGAGCTATACCCCCAGAGCCACGCTATTGGGGGTCTTTCCTGCCCAGTGAGATTGTGTGGCCTGCACAGCACTGCACCTTTTAAAGGTGAGTCAGGCAGAGGCGGCGGCCAAGCTGACTCTCCGGCCCCGAGCTTGGCAAGTGTGTTGGTACACGTGCTGCCCGGGGGAAGCGGCACTGGGCACTGGGCAGCCTGTCCTGGAAGATGTGCAGAGTCGGATCCGAGGCCAGCCCGCGGGGCTCTGTAGGAGCAGCTCCTCAGGGAGCCTTTTCCTCACAGGCAGCTGCAGGGCAAATGCTGCACACTCCTTCCCAGGCCAGACGAGCGATTGGCCTTTTCACCCAGGATCAGAGAGCTGGCGCAAGGCAGTCGGAACTGCGCCTGTCTGCTTCCTGGGGCGTCTACTGCCACTCCCCTCCCCCAGCCTGGCCCACGAACTGCAATAACACCTCGAGCCGGTACACGTTACCTCATTTATTCTCACAACATGCCTGTGAGGTAGGGAGGGGCAGGGACTGTCCCCATTTTACAGAGGAGGAAGTTGAGGCACACAGAGGTCAAGTGACTTGCCCAAGGTCACAGACGGCGGCCAAGCTGGATTGGGGCCCCAGAGCAGGCCCTTGGTTCACCCAGGGGTACCCCCTGCAGCACGCGCCGGACAAGAGGATGTCTCCAATGCCCTGGAGTTGTATGCCCAGTACCGAGCAGCCCCTGGCATGCCCAGTGCCCCGCTGCCCTTGCCTGGCCTGCCCCACCCCGCCCTGTAGGCCCGGGCCTCTGCAGCTCAGGGCTCCTGACACCCGGGAGAAGGGATGGGGCAGGGAGAGGGAGGATTGGGTTAAAAAAACAGAACGGACGGAAAACTCAAGAGGCTGGGCTGGCGGGGGTGGGTGGGTGGGACAAAAAAAAAGGGGGGGGGGGCTGCTTACACACAAGGTCTATATTTTTACACACACTTGTACACACACCTAGATATAGTACATGTAAAAATATATGCTATTCACACACCCGCCTCCTGCCAGGTGCCCCGAGAGCCGGTGGTGGCGCAGGTGGCAGGTGGGCAGAGGGCGTTGTTAAATATACACTCTAAGGTCTATGTGCATATGTACACATACGTACAGACACCGCCACCTGCCCTTGGGCACTGGACACAGGCGCGGCCAAGGACAGCCAGCCCTGGAAGCCACTCTGAGTCCTAAATTTTCTTTTGCTGAAGGAAGAAGGGGCTGGAGAGAAGGGAAAGACTGGAGTCTGGACGCGTAACCATGGCCGTGCCTCATTCCCCCAGAGACCAGCGCGTTCCTCATCTGCTCAGAGGCAAGTCCTGTCCGACGTCCCTGGGGCAGCGGGAGGCCCTCCGCCTGTGCGTGCTGTGCGTGAGTGCGTGCGTGGGAGACTGTGTGTGAGCACTTGGTGGGGGGGGGGGGAGCCGTCCGGCTCTCTGCTCTCCCGGCCTCGACCCCAGAGGTGGAGACGCAGAAGCCGTTGGCCATGGTGGTGTCCCCTGTGTGAGCTCTGAAGGGAAAAGAAAAATGTAAGAATGAAAAATCCAAGGTCAGCGCAGGGTAGCTGGGAAAAGGAGGGACATGGCAGGTGCCCAAGGCTGCCCTTGGACGGTCGTCGTCTTGTAAACAAGCTAGTTTAAGTTCTCATTAGATAGAACAAGTAAAAAGACCGCAGTCTGAGGCTGGGCCGGGAGTTGCCGAAGTCCACCTGTCCAGTCCACCACGGCCAGCGGGAGGGAAGGGAGTTTTTAGCTTTGTTGAATTTGTGTGTGTGAAGTCTTCATAACCTAAAGCTGGGAGGGACCCAAAAAAGCCAAATCGTGAGCCCTTGTATGCGTCAATTTGAAAGTTGGCTCAGGGTCTCTAAAGACAATAACCATACTAAAGGTTGAGAAAATTTTGTTCCATTCTCATTAAGATTTTTTTTGTGTTTTTTAAACACTTTAAAATTGTTTCCTTCCTTCTTTCTTTATGGTCTCAGAGCCTGGTCTGGGCCTCAGGGACATAAATTTCGATGCTGTCTGCGCTCTCTGTGGCCGAGTTCTGCCGCACGGAAGCTGCCCGCTTAGCTGCCAGAAGTCTCTTGCGGGCCTCCTGACGCTGCTTGTCTCCTGCGTCTGAGGCCTTGTCGCGGCTCACTGCTGGCTTGGATTTGGCTGGCTTCTTTGGGACCGGAGGGGGTGGTTTCTTCTCTTCCTTTAGTAAGACAGTGAGGAGGGAACAAAAATAAAATAAAGGTGCCACGTTTTGTGTGGCGCTGCCCCCAACTAAATGCTGCAGCTGGATCTCCCACCCCAGCCTCCCTGCACTGGGCACAGCAACACACCTGGAATCAGGAAGCCACAAGAAGCAATGATAGTGGGAGTAGCACAAGGCAGAGGAGCAAAAAGCAAGCCAGAATCCTAGAATGTTCTAGCAGTAAAGGACAGACAGGTCACCTGTTCCCACCCTGCTCTGAGCCACTGGGAGCCTGAGGCTCAGGCAGGAACCAGCCTAAGTCCTCCAGTCAGAGACAGGCCTCCGACTCCCTGGTCACACTCTGCATGCTCTCCTGGGGATCAGAACTTACAGGGGCCACGGCCCAACACAGCAGGTCCTACTGATTTACAAAAGGAAGCGTGAGCCTCAGGGAAGAGGCTGTTGCCACAGGAGGGGGAACAGGTCCAGACCCCAGCACTCCTGGCAGTAAGGCCCCAGGAGAAGGGACCTCTGGCTGATTGCAAAGTTCCAACAGCCACGTCTCCAGTGCTGTGGCACGGCCACATCTCTCCCAGGACTCCCCTTCTCTGAACATGCAGGGCAGGCTGGCATGCTTCAGGGGCAGCCTCAACTACACAGAGCGAGCAGCAGGCTGGACAAGTGCCAAGCATGGACCCCGGCAGTGATGGACGTGAGCCCCAGCTCAAGACGACACACGGAGAAGGGAGCCAAGCAGCACTGACCGATGTGGGCAGCGTTATTGTCGACCAGGAATTTGTCCCTGGACTTCCCCTCCGCACTGCTCCATGCTCACCTTCCTCTTCTCGGGGGTCTCCACCAGCTGCCAGCTGTTGGCCTTGAGGTGGTAGAGTTCATCAAACTTCATGCTGATGTCCTCGATGGACAGCTGTAGCAGGTCCCAGAACCCTGCCAGGTCCTGGGCTGTTGGACGTGGGTTGGCATCAGGGTTCTGTGGGGCAGAAGGTGATCAGTGGGTGGGCAAGGCAGAAGCTTGTCCTCCTGCCCACACATGGTCCCTTGGCCCTGCCAGTCCTAGAGGGGCTTTTGAGTCTAGTCCTGCTCCCTGGTTCCCAGTGCCTGTGTCAGTAGCTGGGTGAGTAAACAGAGGCAGCTTCATGTTGGTGTCAGCCCCAGAGGCAGGTGGGCCCTTGGAAGGAGGAAACTGGTTAATCACAAGAACAGGCCTGGCCCACGCCTGTGGACCGAGGCTATCGTCACCACCGCAGGACCACGTGAGGTAGGTACTCATTTCCTCATGGATGCCGCAGACCCAGGGGTTCTCATTTTACAGGGAAGAAACACTCTTGACTGGGGTCTGCCAGTGAGGTGGGGACACGCTGGACTCACTCCAGGTACATTGATTACTGGACACATGCTGTCTCCCTCCTGTCACTTTGTTCCATGAAAATACAACCTACAAGTGCCACAGGCCCCACTCCTGGAAGTCCTCCCTGCTGGTTCACCGCAGAGACTCACACAGGTCCTCCTGACAGGTGACCTGGAGAGGAGGCCCACTGAGGCTGGCGGGGGCGTTCCTTCAGTTCTTACCTTGCGTGCTGTCTTGGGTATAGAGAGGACTACAGAGAAGTCGGTCAGTGCTGACCGACCAATGCTCACATGGCTGTTCTGACTCTGTGGTCAATGATCTTTCAGGAGCACCACTCCTGGTTCTGTCCTGTGCTAGGCACGGGAATACACTGCGACCATCTTCCCAGTGCCATGAGGAAGCAGGACCTTCTCCATGCTATGGAGGTTACAGAGGCTGTGTGAAGGGACAAGAGTCACACTCACCAAGTTCTGCTCACAGAGGCCCCGGAACTGCTGGAATTTCTGGGACATCAGTAGCTGGGCGCTGCCCACAGCACTGAGGACTTTTCCTAAGACTGAGGGAAAAAGGGGGAAAAGCCGACTTAGGCAAGCACAGGGTTGCTGGGGTGGGTCAGGAACACATATATAAGTCAGTATCTGGCGATGGGTTGGATCTTCATTTATTTACACATTAATCCATTCTGAGAAAAATGCAAACAATATAGATAAAGTGAGCCCTGTTTCTTACTTCTTAAGGACATTTTATGGCAATAAATTTGGAAATTAAGCTTATATGAAAAAATTTTCAGCAAAATATAAATTGCCACCAAGGACTCAAAGAAATAGAAAATTTGACTTTTTTTTCCCTTCAGAAGTCAGAACTTGAACTCAGGGCTTTGTATTTGCTAGGCAACCACTTGACCACTGAATTACATACATCCCAGCCCATTTTTATTTCGAGACAGGGTTTTGCCAAGTTGCTCAGGCTAGCCTCCACCTTGTGATCCTCCAGCCTCAGCCTCCTAAGTCAGTGGGATTACAGGTATGTGCCACTGCTCCTGGCTAGACTACTAAATATATATATATATATATTTTTTTTTAAGTTGAAACAGAAGTTAAAAATTTTCCCCTCAAAAGAAACATGCTTGTTTGTCCTCAGTGTCTGGGTCAGTATTCAAGTGATGAATGAAGACAGCCAGTGCAGCCCTAGTGTGGTATGTGGTAGGTTCCTCGGGAGAAGGGACAGCCCTATCAGCGAGGTTTTTACATAACCTTCAAGGAACAGAAAATCCTACCTTACATATAGACTGCATGGAAAATAATATAACTTACTTCAGAAACGCTGTGGGCTGTCCAACATGCCAAGAACACTTTGATTATTAACATAAATATGAAAGCCTTCAATAAAACATAAGCAAATAGAATCCAACCAAAGAGTTTCAAAAATAAACATCCTAACCACTAACTGTTCAGCTCAAGAGCATGAAGTTGTTTTTTTAGTGTGACTTTCAGTTTTAAAGTCACAGCATAAAGACAGTATTATCCCCTCACCCCGCCAGGAGGCCCTGAAAAGCCAAGGACACAGAAGTCAAAATGCAGATTGTCTCCCCAAAGCTCAGGTGCGACGGAAGCGGAGGGCAGCTGTGCACAGGGACAGCTGTGGTCAGGCTCAGGTGAAGGCAGCAGGTTGGAGTGCTGCAAAGTAAGTGACACCAAGGAGAGAAGGAGGGTGAGCTCTGCCTCGTGTGGCTCTGTGGCAAGGAAAAGGCAAACGCCTGGGGTGGGCATCACCACCTGCCAGCCTCGGATGGTCCTGGTCCCTCTCCCACAGGAGCTACTTACAAGAGCACACTGAGGGAGGACGTGCCTCATTGTGCAGGTCGTAAGAAAAAGAACCAAAACAGGAGGGCAGCAGATGCCCTAGGAACTGTCAAAGCACAGAACGTTCACCAGAAAACTGGTGCCAGGAAATAGATAAAAACTGGGATATTTAGCTATGAATATGTAAAAGAGAGGTCTGAAGCTGAGACAGAGGTGCTTCAAAAAATGATGGATAATAGGACAGTGGAAGGCGATAAACAGGAGCTCTGCGGCACCAGACCAAGAGAAACGCAGAGCCAGGGCTGCAGGCGGCACAAGGTTCACCCTGCAGAAAACTGACTGTAAGATTGCACCTGGGCGCCTTTAAGAAACAGAAGCAGCAAATAAATATACTAGAAAGTACTATGAAAAAGAGAATGGGACTGTTGGGAGTGGTGGCACATGCCTGTAATCCCAGTGGCTTGGGAGGCTGAGATAGGAGGATCACAGTTCAAGGCCAGCCCCAAAAATAAAAAATAAAAAGGACTAGGAATGAAGTTCAGTGGTAAAGTGCCCCTAGGTTCCGTTCCCAGACCTCCCCCCACCAAAAAAAAAAAGGAAAAAGAAAAAATATCGGGAGACATGGATGAGAAAGAATATGTATCTATCAACTGTACAAAAAGGGGAGAATAGAAAAAAATGGAAGAAATATTTGGAGAGATCATGGTTAAGAATTTTCTAGAAATGGTTAATAACACTAGTCCAAAGAGCTAGAAAGTCAAATGAATCCCAAACAAAAACTGTCTTATTCACAGCTGGGTGCGGGGGTACAAGCCTATCATCTCAGCACCTCGGGAGGCTGTGGCAGGAGGATTATGAGTTCAAAGCCAGCCTCAGCAGCAGCGAGGCACTAAGCACTAAATAAAATACAAAAAGGGCTGGGGATGTGGCTCAGTGGCCAAGTGCCCCTGAGTTCAGTCCCTGGAACCAAAAAAAAAAAAAAAAAAAGTTTCTGCTTCAAAGGACACTATGAAGAAAGTGAAAAGGCCACCCACAGAGGTTCTGAGAGGAGTGGAAGGGCCCAGGTAGGGTGCGAGGCCAGAGGATGGAACCCCTCTATGACATGGAAGCTGGCCGCCTAGGACTTGGGGTGGGGATGTTGGGAGGCCCTGTGTCTTCATTGAAGCAAAGCAGAAAAGTAGTGGTTAAGAGGCTGAGAGTGGAGCAGAAAAGACCCCTGGAAAGACACATGGTGTATTGTGTTGATCAGAGACACACCGAAACCTAAGGACACAGAAAGTTTACAAATAAGAAAACGGTATACCAGGTAAACACTAAAAAAAGAACACTGACAGAGCTCCAATATGTAAGTGGATTCTGAGCCAAAAACTCAGGTCCCTACATATTGGTCAAAGATTCCATTCACCAGGAAATTTAAAACATTTCTTCTTCCTTTTTTTTTTTTTTTTTAAAAATTAACCCTTTACTTTCTTTTTTTCTTTAATTTTATGTGGTGCTGAGGATGGAACCCAGGGCCTCGAATGTGCTAGGTGAATGCGATATCACTGAGCCACAACCCCAACCCCTTAAAACATTTTTTTTTAACTCCCAATTACTTAAATGGGGAAAAAAATTGTTAACTCTTAAGTATCTAATAATATAACTTAAAAAATGTAAAGTGAAAAGTGAGAGACAGTAAGAAGCAGTGTCTACCACCGGAGCGAGGACACAACATACTTGTTTCAGTAGCTAACAGGTAAAGTGGCCCCCAAAGGATTTAGACTCAGAGAATACTTAATGAGCTTGATCCAAAGGATAAATTACAGAACTCTAAACACAATATCTATAAAATCTGCTTTATTCTCATAGAATGTGGGCCATTCATTAAAACTGAGAGCATGCTCAGCAATAAAGTATACAACACATTTTAAAGAACTTCGGTGGCCCATGCCTGTAATCCCAGTGACTCAAAGGCTGGGGCAGGAGGATCACAAGTTCAAGACCTCAGCAACTTAGGCCCTAAACAACTTAGAGAGGCCCTGTCTCAAAATAAAAAATAAAAAGGGTGGGGGATATGGCTCAATGGTAAAGTGCCCATGGGCTAAATCCCCCGCACTCCCCCACTCCAATAAAATAAAATAAAAAAGAACTGGCTAGCATACAGGAATGTTTTCAACATTCATACATCTAGGTCAGAAACCTGTAATGAAAATGTGATTAATAAATCTCCAAATGCATTAAAAACAAAAACATATATTTTTAAATAACCCACTGGTCAAAGAAAGTGCATATTTTAACTTGTCAGTGGCTAAAGTTGTACTTGGAGAGAAAGGCACAGGCTTCAAATCCTGTAAAAAAAGGACAGGCTGAAAAACAAATTGAGCATCGATGTGAGCTACTGGAAAAGAATGACACAATTAGTCCAAGGGGAGCAAATATTAGGGGACTAATAAAATTAACAAACCATACCAGATTGATCAAGATTCTTTAAAAAATGCAAATAAAAGTACTAGAATTCCAGGTGTGGTGGCACACCTATAATCCCAGTGACTCAGGAGATTGAGGCAGGAGGATTGCAAATTTAAGACCAGTCTGGGAAATTGAGCAAGATCCTGTCTCAAGTAAGAAATAAACAGGGCTAGGGATATCAGTGGTAGAGCCTCCCTGGGCTTAATTCCCAGTACTGAAAAAATTTTTTTTATTAGGGTACAGTTGCATGTGCCTGTAATCCCAGCGGCTCAAGAGGCTGAGGCAGGAGGACAGAGAGTTCAAAGCCAGCCTCAGCAACTTTGTGAGGCCCCCTAAGCAACTTAGTGAGAACCTGTCTCAAAATAAAACATAAAAAGGGCCGAGGGTGTGGCTCAAGGTTCAGCGCTTCTGGGTTCACTCCCTGTTATAAAAAAAATTTCTTAAGAGAACCAAAATTTATCAGAGTATCAAATTGAAAGTTTAGCACTAAAAAAATTTAGTAACTGTAATTAATGGAGCCAGGCAGAATGGCACAGGCTGTAATTCCACTGACTCAGGAGACTAAGCAGGAAGATTGCCAAGTTTGAGGCCAGCCTTAGTAATTTAGTGAGACCTGCCTCAAAATAAAGTGAAGAGGGCTGAGAAAGTCACTCAGTGGTAGAGCTCTTGCCTAGCATGCAGGAGGCCCTGGGCACAATCCAATACCATAAAAGGAGGAAAAAAATAATATAGCAGGTGGGTTTAACAGATTGGTACCAGGGATTGAACCCAGGGGCACTTAACTACTGAGTCATATCCCTAGCCCTTTTAAGTTTTTTGAGACAGGGTCTCATTAAGTTGTTTAGGGCCTTGCTAAATAGCTGAGGCTGGTCTCAAATTTGCAATCCTTTTGCCCCAGCCTTCCAAATCATTGGAATTACAGGCGTGTGCCACCACGCCCAGCCAAAAATATTTTTTAAAATGAAAGAAAACCATGAATATTTAAAGATAAATACTAGAGGGAGTTCTTTAGGAAGAAGGAAAGTGATTCTAGATAGATGCATAGAAATTAAGAAAGGAGGAAAAAGTGAAATGTGGTTAAAGATAGGTAAATATTGATTATAATACTGACTGTAAAAATATTTATAATATAGACATATAGCAGCAGAAGTACAAAACACAGGAAAGGAATAAATAGGATCAAGGTGTTCTCATAATCTGGGGAGTGTTCAAAGTACAAATTTAGATTAGTCTTTTTGCAAAATCAAGGATGAAGCAAGTTGTAATCCCTACGGTGACTACTACAGGAATTCTAAAAACAAAGAGA